AGATAAGGCCTATATGAAGCACGCGATGCATGCAAACACTCCTGAGTATGTGTTAGGGTGCAAAGGCACTTGAGCCAGCTTTTTGTAGGAAGTTTTCTTACTTTCTAACATGTTTTGGAAGAACTTTATCTTTCTAGAAAGAGACCACTATAGTGTTTTGGATCTCGCAGTATCTGTGCATTAGTATTGTTGAAATAGTTTATGTAGTCCTCTATTCATATGAATCATGAAGACTAATTTGCTCGGGTGAAACTTTACGCACACTGATTATTATTATTATTATTAAGAGGCAAATATTATCTTGAGAGAGCAAGCTTTCGTTCTTTAGATCAGAGAGACTAAAACTTCTTTTGTTTCTTTTGTTTTTTTGTTTTTTGCCCTATTTCAACCAATTTTCCAACAACTTCATAGACACCATTGCATCATTGAGACGTTTGAGCCATTTCTAGGTAAGTGACAAGTTCGCAAGTTAACACCAAAAACAAAAAATTTGACACGATCTTTTTGAAATCCAATAAAGCAATTTTACTTCTAGAATTAATATATGTTATTATTGAAAAAAAATTTATCGCGATGAAAATGAAAAGCCTTTAATGCCTTGATAAATTGATTTTATCAAGATACTATTGAAGTTATTTACCTAAAGAAAAAAAAAGATGTTGAAGTTCTTGTCGGCATTGAAATTTATCAAGACCATATACTTTTAGTACAAAAAGGTCACAATTGCACTTAATCGTAGACGTAAAATCAGCAGAAGAAGTGTGCTACTTTTTGCTCTTAAAGTCCAAAATTATTCTTTTTGAACATTATAATACACCCCTAATACCCAATTTCATTAAAAATAACTGTGACCTTCTCATACAAAAATACTAATACAACATAGTCTTATTGAAAAAACAAATTAAAGTAGAAATGATTTTCATTTCTCACTGAGAATATAGCTGTTGATAAGGCAGAATGACGGACTACAATTTGAGTAGTCAACCCCAATAGATGATGATGAATTTTCTGTTGAGGATTAATGTCTTGTATTCTGATGAAATATATCTGCCAGGGTGGAGTAAAAAAGAAGACTCCGGATGGCCGTTAAAAGCTCGAAAGGCCAAAAGCCCATAGGGCTTGAGGCTCGGAGGAGTTGTCCTGACATATTGATTCACCGACTTGGCTCATGTGGGGGTTTGGGGGCGGCAGCTTCGGAGGAAAAGTTCTGATATATCCGTATATGTGATTCGATATATCTAGGACTTAATATATATTCGTACAAGGGTATTTCAGTAATTTGTATCATATATCTGAGACTCAATATATATTATTGCGAGTGAGGGTTCATCAAGGGTTAAGGAAAAAACGCATATTGTTTTCTAATCATAAAGGCGTGAGGAAGAGAGCTTTTGTAACCCTATTCTTTATTGTCAGTAAAGAAGTTTTCATCTCCCGTGGACGTAGCTACATTGCCGATCCATGTATATTATTGCGTTGTGGTTGGTTGTCTATTTCTTTTGTGTTTATTTCTTTTTTCTAGTTTTTATATATTGCTTTTCATTTCAACATTTTCATTAAAATTTATACCTCGTACTCTCTTTCCCCTCTCTCTTATCACCAATTTAGACTTTAGAGAGCCTGTGAATAGCACCTTGCATAGAATTATTATTTTTCACCTGACAACATGGCTTATGGGCCAGAAGAGGCCAAGCGATAAAGTGGATGAAGTTTCTATAAGGCTTAGGTTTTATGAAAACAAAATAAATCTTCAACTCAAATTCCCATTTGGAAAGCACTTTAACCAACATCTGTGATAGCTCTAAAACCAATTTCGAACACTAGTAATACATTTTGAAATTCAAAAAGTTGTACAAATCTTGCGGATCTATGAACACTTATTTTTAGGGCAAAATAGACAGTCTAGATAATTTTTTACAATAGATACTATTTTTAGAGCTTGAAATCTTAACTTTTTTTCACAATCATAATGTTCAAGCTGAGATGATCGATATAAAGGTCTTTCAATACTTGATATGCAATTTTCGATGAGTTATAAGATGAGGCTTTATTTACTTTAATAGGGCTGCAGCCTTATCAAATTATTTTCCGAATTATAATAAGGCCCTTCCAAGGGTAGCATTGCTATTTGTGAAAATTATGAGGGTAATTCAAGGAAAAAGAGAATAGGTGTTGTAAAATCATTTCCCCCTAATAAGCTACACGCAACGAGACAAGCAACACCGACCAAACCAAAGCCTCTTAAAATTATTAGTTATAGAAAACTCTCTTTCTCTCTCTCTCTAAAAATTTCAAAACACAATGCAATCAAAATGCATGAACCTTTTAATTTTTATGTCCAATTTGTTATTTGGTATGGTATGACTGATGTCATTGTCTATGCCCTAAAATCAATTGATTAATAGATAGATATCTGAAGAGAGAGAAAGAGAGGAGAGAGAGTATAATGGGTGTCATTGTCTTAATCTCAAATATAAATTTAATATTGAGATAGATGAGAGAGAGAGAGAGAAGGCAAATCATTACTTGTAACCAGGCCTTATAATCTAATGGAACTCGGAGTAGGTTTCCTGGAGTTTAGTAGTGGCTCATTCTATTAAAAAAAGCACATACATGTGCATGTCGGGTCCAGAGAGAGAGAGAGAGATTTTAATATAAAAAAAGGTGCGGTTTGTATATAGTTTGGGCTCTAAACAATCAAATTAGAGCTTACTTTTAAATAGTAATTGTTTCAATACTGGTAATTTTTGTTTTCAGCTATTTTGTAAAGTTTAAAGGAGATTTCAATATCCCATCACCTTCTAGAGAGAGAGGAGTTGGAGTTTTTAATACTTAACCACTTTATAATCTTCTACAGACATGTCAATATCTCATGAGCTTATGATATGAAAGAGAGAGAGAGGGAATTAACATTCAAACAAAAAAAAGACAGAGAGATGATATCTAATATCAGAGTCTCATAATTTTTTAATGTAAACGCATACATGTGCATGTCGGTCTTAGAGAGAGAGAGAGTAAAATTTAGAAGATGGGTTTTTACACATAGGGAGACATTCTTATGGGGAGAGTGTAAAATCTTGAAAGAGAGTAAAAATATAGAGGATGGATAATTGTACATCGGTGGAGGCATTCTTAGAGAGAGAGAGAGAGAGTGTGTAAATACGAGAGGCAGCAATTAAAGTAGTGTAAATACTAGAGAGAGAGAGAGAGTAAAATGTAGAGGAGGGGTTTTTTGTTGATAGGTTTGAGGCATTGTTTCTTGTAAAGTTCGAAATGCCGGTTATTCCCAAGACTGATGCATGTGCATGTTGGGGATAATAAAACAGCATGCCCCAATGCATGATCATGTCAGTTTTTTCTCAGGATATATTATCAACTTTATGTCCCCAAAGTCATGAATATGTACAAATCAACAGCGTCCTCTACTCCAAATTGAACTTTGCAAATGGGTTCGGAAGCTCGGCCCGACCCCGCCCCCGCATGAAATCCATGCCTGGTATCCTGCTGGGGCTGTTAACGGGCCGGGTGGCCTGGCCTTGCTTAATAAAACTAGGGCCGGGTTAGGGGGGAGGACCCGGCTTGGCTTAGGCCAAGGCCATGATAGGGCCGGAACTGTTTGGCTTTTTCTATTTTATTTTTAATTATGTGTTTTAGCCGAGGCTTGTCTAGCTTAGGTTTATTTTTTTTTCTTTTTGCTTTTCTGTATTCCAGCCAAGGTCTGTCTGGGCCAGGGTTTCTTCGGCTCAATCACGGCTGGGCGGGATTGGGCTGACCCTTTAGAGACTAGGGTCAGCATGGAGCTAGGGCCAAGGCCAGGGCCAGCCCTGCCCATTGTCGGCTAGCCCGATATGAGTCAGCCAACTCGTATGTACACATATGACACCCTTCTAAAATTCACCTTAAAGATACATCTTTTATCCCAAATTTTAGGGGTTTATCATCTAAACCAAGCTGATCATAAACATGAAAAGAAGAAAAATTGAACTTCAAAATGTCCCATTTTTTTGCACCGTCCATATTTTATTTGACCCGTGCATTTTACGCAACGCCCATCTTAAAGATAGACATTGAAGAGTCAGCGAGCACTTGTACTCTCAGGACAATTTTCATATCTGTTGACCAAATAAAGACCCTATCAATAGAGTCGAGCCGGGCCACCTAGCCCACGACCATGGCCCTGACTCAGAACCCCTTTGGTTTGTAGGCGCTTTAGGGGATCGAGGCCACTCAGAGGCTAGCCCAGACCGTGCCCGTTGCCACCCAGCATTCAATTCAGAAGTTTCAAAATGAAATAAAGAGTGGGTAAGTCCTCTTTAGCATTGAATTGCATTTATGCCTCACCGTGTCTCTCTCTCTCATGGACATTTATCACTCTCTTTCTCTCTCTAAAAACCATGCTTCTTTTGCCCCTCTATTTCGTTCTCTCTCTAGCGAGCGTGCTTCTTGTTTGGTGCAACGATTGACAAGTTTTCCATTGTGATTTATCTCAATCTTTCGATACTTACTACGTGGATGATCTCTTTCTCTCTCCTCTCTTTTCTTTCTCTCTCTCTCCTCTTTCTATCTCTTGTTTGAAACTGTTATAACAATATATAAAAAGAAAAATTTAGATAAGGTTGTAACTTTAAAATATAGAATAATATATACACCTGAAAAACCTATCGAAAATATTGTTTTAATGTTAAAAAAACTCTCTAATCGATCGTCCCGGTTAAATATGGAGGCCCTAAATCCTCTCTCTCTATGCATATTTCTCATTCTAATCCTCTCTCTCTTCACGCCTTTCTCACTCCTCTCACTTTGAAGTTTCTATTTTTAAATTAAATGATTAATGCATAGCGTGCCCGTGAACTCCATATAGATATTGGAGTTGCTCTCTCTTAATAGAGAGCCTTTTTCTCTTTCTCTTCATCAAGCTAAGTAATAATAACTGTACAGATGGAAGTCATTTCTCTCTCTTCCCGTGCTCATCAAATGAATTAATTATAGAGATTTTGAAAGCCGCCCACAGAATCACACACACAAACACTCTTTCTCTCTCTTCAATGAACTAATCATAGAGCTTAGTGAAGTACCAATTCAGTTTTTCTCTCTCTAAATTTGGATTTTCTCTTTTTTTATCTTGCAATTACCAGCCAATATCCCCAATTTCACGAGGTGAACTAAATATAGACCCACGCATTGGTCTATTTGCGCCATTTCTAGAGAGAGAGCGAGAGGAGAGAGAGAGAGAGAGGCATGGCAACTCTGCCATAAACCCAGGCCTCTATCTATCCGCCGAACCCACCCATCTCTCACTTTCTCCGCGCCCCATTCACCCAGGTGGGTCTTTCTCTCTCTACAAACTCTGCCTTTCTCTCGCTAGAAAATGTACCCTGGTTTGAACCATCACCATGAACAAGTTCTATCAAATGAAGAGACCCATGGTTCAGTTGAGGCGCCAGGCCTCGCCATTGATGCATGTTTGGTTCTCACTACTGATCCCAAGCCTCGGCTTAGATGGACAGCTGAACTCCATGAACGATTTGTTGATGCAGTTATTCAGCTCGGAGGCCCTGAAAGTGATTATTCTCTCTTTTTTTTGTTGAATTAATGGTTATTTTCATGGATTTTTTATATTGGCTTTTCAAATGAGAATCTTTCATTGATTTTGCTGAATTTACTGCGTATTTTTAGTGGTGCTATGACTATTTTTTCTTTATTTTTTTGGTGATTTGCTTGGTGTTGGTGTTGTGATTTTGATAAATTTGGATGTTTTGGTTGATGGGTTTAATGGGTTTTCTCTGCAATTGATAGTGGGATTGAGTTTTTTTGTTAATTGGGTTTGATGGGGTAGCTGTATTTGTGGGGTTTGGATGATTTGCAGGTGCGTTGTGTATGTGCAGTGTTTGCTTGATTTGGTGATCACATTGTTGTCTCTCTCTTTCCCTCCTGTTCTTTGATTTGGTGATCACATTATTGGTTCTCACATTTTGAGTCTCTCGCTCACTTATATTTTTTCTCGCTGTTCTTTGTTGGCAATTATTGGGTTCTTTTATAGAAACCCCTCTCTCCCTCTCTCTTCATCAATGGTTTCTTTTTTCAGTTTCAACTTACATTTATTGGCCCATTTTTAGTCTCTCTCTCTCCCCCACCCACCCACCCACAAACCCACAAAACGACCCCAAACCCTTCTTCTCTCTTTTTTCTCTGAAATGTTTTGTTGGCAGTGTGTTTTCTCTCCCGTTTTCTCTTTTATCTCTGGAACTTTTTTGTGGCAGTGTGTGTTAGTTGGCAATTCAGAACTGTTACACATATCCCCCTCTCTCTCGTTTTTTTCTGTTTAGACAACTTTTAGTTTGTTCGTGGGGCATTTTCAGGGTTCATCACATGTGTTTGTTTTTTCCATTGGTACTTGCAGGTCATTTTTTTGTGAATTGGCCCTCGATTTTGGTCCTCTCTCTCTTCCCCACCCCCCCCCCCTCCCCCACCCCACAAAAAAAAAAGAGAAGTTGTAGTATGAGCAGTCATTGATGTTGAATTAAGATTGGTAGTTGTGATTAAGAATTATTATTTTCTTAGTCCTCTAGGTTTTTTGTCATCTTTCATTTGTGGGTAGTGGAGAGACCCCAAACCCCTTTATTAAAAAGGAAGACGTGATTATTTCCTTCTTTATTCTGCAAATTATTGTTATTCTCAGTGTTCTTTTTCTTTTTCATGTGTGTTGATGGTTGCTCTTTTATGCGTGCTAAAACAAGTTTGAAATTTTGGTTTATTACACACTTGATTTTAGTTGGAAAAAGGTTATGATGATGATGACACACTTGATTTTAGTTTGGTCATCATTCTTATATTGAGAAATAAAGTGATAAATTTCTACTCATAACGATGAAATACAAGTCAATAAGAGAATATTCATTTGTCTGTTACCTTAAGAAAAAAAAAACAAAAATTGTGTTTGCATGAATTCAGGCGTGTCCTATTCTCTGTCTCTATTTTTTGCATTGATGATGAATTAAATCACTGTTGAAATGACTGAATTAGACTGGACTATTCAATTGGTTTGAATTGGAATTGGCGTATTAACTGGTTCATTGGATCCTTTAAGTCTTAAACAAATAAATTGGACTGAACTGGACAATTGGGCTATGTTTCTCTGTTTTTTGCTTGATGATGAACTGAACCTCGTTTTAAAGGACTGAATTAGACTGGCCTATTCAATTGGTACTGGCCTATTAATTGGTCCGTGCATCCTTGAACAAAGCAGATTGAATTGAACTGGACAGTTTGCTTATTCAACTGTCTTATTTACCTGTTTTGATTGCTTTTTGTTGGTTCAGATGCTATGTATTTTATAATTTTTCCCTGGTGATTTGAGGTTTTAATTTATGGTGCTTTGTTTGTTTGTCGTGCATTTTGGCAGAACCTGAATGGGATTTACTAAGCATTTATTGTGTCTTCCGTGATTGTCTTTTTACGCGAACCATGTGATATTGTATTCTATTTTTTTCCCTTCCTAAGTTATAATATTACCATTTATTTTGGTTACTATTTTTAGGGATCCGTCTTTGGTCTTAATGTTTGGATCAATGTTATCAAATTCTCTTCGCTTCGGCCGAAGAAGCTGAAGCCTTCAGACTTTAAGCATAAACCGAAGCGAAGAGAAGCATGGTGCCGCTTCGGTCAGATTTGGGTCGCTTCGGCTTGCTTCGGGCTGCTTCTCTGGGAAAAGAAATACCTATAGAAAAGTATTTTTTAATTTTTTCCATTATTTTTATATATATTTTTATATAAATATCTAATTTATTTATATTAAATTAAAAAAAAGTTCGAAGTCTTCCCCCGAATCGGCCGAAGCACCGAATTGCTTCATTTTTCTCACCAAACCGAAGAAGACTCCGAAGCGAATATGACAACTTTGGTTTGGATAGAATTGTTTATCCAGTCATAGCTCAGACTTGTTCTAGACAAAGTTGTTTCCCCTTAGGTATGTTGTTTCCATTATTGATTTGCTAAAGCAACTTCTTTTTGGCTTTGTTTGTTATGAGTTATCATGAATTTTGAAAGCAGAGTTCCAACTGAAGCCTGTTTTCTTGGTCTCCTTTAGAGGCTTTTTGGTGAAATGCTTTCTGTTTCCTCAACCGCAACACTCATTACCCGTCTATTCACTTGCTTTTTTGTGTATGGGTTTGTATTTCGAGAGAATAATAAGGTGTATTTTCATTACTTTTTCGATAATTGGAGCATTTTTATTGATTTAGTGTGGATTCTGAATTCTTTGAGAATGATGTTGCTTCTTCGGTTAGTATGGGGAGTAGAAACTGTTGCCAAAATATAGTCGCTGTGGACAAGGAGCTAAATGGATTAAGAGGCCTGCTCTTGTTGTCCATTGACCAGCTAGTGTACACATTGTATTGTTCATGTTGTTTCATATTAAGCATGAAGGATTTGATGACAAGATTAGGATGCTAGCCAATGATACCTCCATCAAACCAGTACAACATTGGGTTTTCTAGCAACTAAATAGGTTTCATCGAATTTGGGAGCCCCAGGGCGGACAACTTGGAACATGGAAATGTTAATTGCATACCAAATCAAATTTAAGGAGTGATGGGGATGCAATAAGTGAACAAAAAATGAATCATTGGCATTAAAAGCCTGAAAGGCAAGAGTAAGATACGAATCGAACATGGGGAACTCCTGGATTCTTATTAAGTGGTCTCTTTAGATGGGGTCACCAACTATAGCATCAAGAGTGTGTGACAATTAGAAGATATTCTCATAACTTTAAGATTTGGCTGGGTGAAGATGATAAAAAGTAGGATTTGAATGGGCTATAAGCATGAGCATAATTTTGTAACAAGCATGGTTCTGTAGGTCCTGGAAGAGATGAGAAAGGGTTGTGTTTTACTATGGGAAAGAATGATGGTGTTTAGATGCTTGGAATAAGGTATCCATGAGAAACGGCCTTACTAGGTAGAAGACGATTGATTTAAGGGAAGTGATGTGTTTGCATAATGGGTTCCATAAAATAATATTCGTGCATTCACTCATGCATGCTATTGCTTCCCCTTGGTGACTGTTATTGACTTATTTCTCCTCTTAAAGATAATTTCTTAAACAGTTGTGGCCATACGGCCATAAGTATGCTATAGCTCTGCATCACCCTTGATGAGAAATTTACTAGTCTCCTTATAGATAGATGCTTTAGACATGAGCCATTGCATTATTTTACCTGTGATTGGGGACAGCACTAAATGCTAGTGTAGGCCATCACCACTCTTGCATATGCGACTGCTAATTCCTGGTTATTCCATGCTTTTGCATGCACTAGTAATTTCCCTTGTTATTGAAGTCTTGGTATTGGCAATCTGTGCACGAAAAGTTTGATGAGCTTTGCATCATGAATGCATACATGCATGTCTCTTTTTATGTACCTATGTATGTATTATGCCTACAAGACATCTTGATTTAGTCAAAGGGTTCCATACCTCCAACCCCCCAAGAAATACGACTGGGCCCTTCCCCACACCAGAATCGTAACACTGTTATGTTTGATCTATTAACTGAATCATGACTGATAGCTCTAAAAATCCATTTATATGATGATTTCCTTGTATAATTGATATTGGGGCCTATGATCTGTTTATTATGGGTCCCCTGAAAGTGTATTCGAACGAAGATCCTCTGAATTTGCTGGGTGCACTTTATGATTAAAAGTTTGGGTTTTATTTGATTTGCAGAAGCAACACCAAAGACAATCATGAGAACGATGAATGTAAAGGGGCTGACTCTTTATCACTTGAAGAGTCATCTTCAGGTATCCAAGAGGCTGATTTCTGTTTTATTTTATCATATTTGATTTCCGTGGGTTATTTCATTGTGGAAGTATTTGTTCTTTGAGAGGCATACCTTTTGATTTTTTACTCTTATGTACTTATGAAAATGTGTTTATTGCTCTTTATTAGAAATACAGACTAGGAAAGCAGTCAAGCAAGGAATTCTCAAATGAAAACAGGGACGGTATGCTTTCTAATCATAGTCCTCTCGCATCGTCATTTTGATTCCCTTATACACACGTGCTTACTTGGATATATGGTGTGACGCATAAAGAAGTTATTGTGTGACCTCCATTTGTTCGTCTCTGTGTGTGTATCTGTGTCTCTGTATGTGCGGGTGCGCATGTGTGTGTGTGTGTGTGTGTGTGTGAGAGAGAGAGAGATAAGCATCTGGTTTTCTTATAATCTGAGTCTCTGTTTACTTGGTTTGGAATTTATTCTCAAAGGCAAAACCCTTATTTTGGCTGTAAAGATAATTACATGTAAATATTGTCTCTGTTATATTTTTCTCCTATCTTGACTTGGGTAGATCTGTTGGCTTGAAGTGCAGCTTCGAGCCTCTCAGAGGATCAGGCCACTAGTTCGCCTCCATCTTCAAGAGTAATGACTCGGGATATGAACGAGTGAGATTACTAACGATGCATTCCCATTTGTCATTCTATTGCAGTACTTGGAATTTTTTTTATAGTCATGTAGATAATGGGGGACACACTCAAAAAATAAGAGGATGCTCAAAAGAAAGAGAGGATTGAATATAGCCATTTTTTATGCTCCTGTCATTTACAATTTTGTAGATATTGGGGAGCTAACTTAGTCTGAAAGAAAACAGAAAAAGCTACAAAAGGGAGAAACGAGTATAATGGGAGATTTGTTTATGAACAGGGGCTACCAGGTCACTGAGGCTTTACGGGTTCAAATGGAAGTACAGAGAAGATTGCATGAACAAATGGAGGTAAAGATGCATTTTGATCAAACTTCCTTATCTGCCCCTTGTTGGATGAATATAATTGCCTTTCTCCCAGTTTTTGAGCTGACTATTCTTTTACAGAATAACAGAGCGCAAAGGAATTATAACTGTAAATGTGTTAGAGTTGGCAGCCTGCACAGTTTGAACTATTTAGCAAGACCCATATGAGTGAAAGACAAGGGAGGGAGAGAGCGAGGTTTTGAGTGATGGATGACCGTTTAAAACTTTTCCAACTGACTGTGTGTGACAGAGAGAGAGAGAGAGTTTTGGATCAATCATCAACTACTTCCTCACATCAAAAAGAGAGAGAGAGTTTTGGATCAATCAGCGACAATTTCCTCACATCAAAAAGCTTTGAAGCCACCCCATGTTCACTGAAACTGACCGTTATAAACCCCTATTCCCGAGCAGTTGTTCTTTTATTAAGTTTCAGACTTGGGTGATTTTCGCCATGCATTTTCTCTAATCAGGGACGCTTTTTCTCTCTCTAGGTTCAAAGGCATCTTCAACTTCGAATTGATGCCCAAAGCAAATACCTGCAGTCCATGCTGGAGAGAGCATGCAAATACATGACTGACCAAGCGATGACCTCAGGCTCCAACTTATCAGTAGAGCCACAAAACAATCACCTTTCTTTCTCGCTCTTATCCCAATCAACACCTGACGATATATCTGAAACAGCTGGTGTTCAAAATAATCTTGAAGACCCTCGAGCCCAAATAGGGGATTGTTCAGTTGATAGCTGCTTAACTTCTCAGTCGGAGTACTCAAATGGAGGGAAGAAAAGGTCGAGGCCCCCTTGCTTTGAAGCCAATTCAACAAATTGGGGAGAAGATATAGTTGGACTGAATATGGTGGGACAGGTTAAGATGGTTAGAAATGAAGGAATTGATTCATGCGCGAGCAATGTGGGGTTGCACTCTCCCCGGCTTGAGCATTCGGGTTTGAGGAGGCCTTCTGTTTTTCTCGATGCTGGTCCAGTTCATGCAAAAGGTGGCATATATTATCTATGAAAAAGTGCGCATTCGCGATCGTGAGAGAGAAACCCTTGGCTTTTTAATACATGGGTCATGAAGGCTTTTTTTTCAGGGGGGAGGGCGGGTGGTGGGGGCATACAAAAAAGTTGGAAGTGTACAGTGAAACCAAAAGGAGAAAGGAAAAATTGAAGAACTTTTCATTGTAGGATGCTTTATGAACTATTTCCATTCTTGTTTTAGGTCTTAATTATGAGAAATTGGAGATTACCACCTGTTCTACTTGATTGATAATGGCTGATTTATGAGTTCCTCTCCATGTAATTCAAGAGAGATGGCAACCATCGTAAGTTGCAAAATACAGCTTCTGAGAATTCAATACTTAGTTTCATTTGCCTGTCTTCCGTTCTTGGAATTTTGGTGGTCAAAACAGTGTATGTCCATATCATAAAATTGTTAGTTATATCTTTATCATGTCCGTTTCATTTTGTTTTGTTTTGATTTGTTTTCGTTAGGTTCAAAATTGTATTAGGTTGTCTTGGTAACTTTTCCTAATGGCATATTAGATTTTGGCATTTGGGCTCTTATATAGACACAGATATGCATGTCAGTATTTAACATGCATATGAGTGTCGGAAAATGCCACCTTTGAGGTGCAACGCATTTTTATATCCTTTGAAGAAGGGGGGAGGCGGGATTTTGCTGATATCAAATATTTTTGTAGCGATATTTCAAAAATAAATGTTAAGAACGAGTGCCTAAAGCATGATATATTCAAATCAAAGGGTAGGCGGGATTTTTGGTGACATTTAATGCTCTTCCATAAATAAATAAAAAGTGGTACTTTTATGGTAAGTTATGAAGAAAATATGTGCAGAGATGCTCAAGTTTCTAATATATCAGATATAGGTGCCATGTTTTTGTTGTGACTGATATGTATTGGAGATCTTGAATACACATGTTTAAAATATATAGATTTTGATAGTACAATTTATAGTGCACCACTAGTACCTTGGTTTGTTTTATAAAATCACAAAATAACTATAGTTTCCGTGAAAATCATCATAGGCCATAACATTTAACAGTTTAATATTTTGAATAAATTGCTTGAGAAAGAGTTTAATTTTAATGTATTTTGAAATTAGAATATAAATTTTAAAAATAGTGTACCACCCTGTGAATATTAGGATAATGCTAATCACCTGTGTACATTTTAGGGTACTTGGGTCAATTGGAACATATAAAAAGGTTTAGAGCTGTTTGAAAAAACTCTAATACAGCATTCAAACGGAAAATAAAAGAATAAAAAGTATATATATAAAAAAAAAAACTAAGTCTTTATTTTCATTAACACAATAATTTATATAGAGATTGTTTTATAATCAGTGGAGATGGGTTTCCCATTGATTTTTTATTTGAAAATCTAAAAGGAAAGTATGGTGTAATAAAATAGTTCCTTGTGAATAAGAAATTGATGTCGCTTTGTTGTTAGAACCAAATATTTGACTGATCCAATCCCTTTAACTTTCAGTGTATTTTTTTGAGAGAGAGAGAGATGAAAATCAAGTGATTCTCAAAAAGACAAGAGAGATGAAAGTCAAGCATATCAAATGAGAAAGAAATAAAGAGAATTTACGACACTCAAGTAATGAGGGTGAGATTTATGAAACTCATTATCATCATGCCCGAAAAAGGAAGGTGGGTTGTATTAGATAGGTAGTTAATATAAAACTGTCAAAGTTTTTCATGAATCATGAAACTTAAAGCAATTCAATGGGAGATATATATATTTGGAATTCAAGAAATCCATTTATATGGGAGATATAAATATTTTAAACTTCAAGAAATCTATTTATATGTGAGAGAGAGTAAATTGAAGGCAATTTGAGTTCATAGTTTCCAGTTATGAAGAGAGAGAGAGAGAGAGAGAGAGAGAGAGATGTAGTAAATGAAATTTGAGTTCATAGATCCATTTACATGTGGACAAGATGCACGTATACTATGTTCTAGCAGAAGCATATTGTACACCCATTCTTAAGATTCACTAGATAATTATTTTTTAAAATAAAATTTTTGAGTTTTCTAACTGCCTCAAGTGCATCGAGAGTGTTTTTAGATTTTTTATTTTTTTATTTACTGAAAGTAATTGATAAGTTGAAGAAGTTACGTCCCAAAATTTATTTAATTATTTTCTCATGAAATCTTGTAGCAAAATGAAATGTACGTTCCAATGTTAGCAACTTTGTTTCAAGATGGTGATTGATTATGAAAGCAATAAATGGTGTCTTGGCTTTTTAGTGTTTCTCTATAAATAATGTTTGGACGTTTTTTTAGTCTCTCTACCACTAAAATGGAAACTTCACAATTTGTCTCTCTCCTCAAATTGATACAAATCTCTCTTTCATTGCCCACATTTTTCTCTCCCTGTCATCTCACAAGAAAGGCAGCACCTATGCACTGCTCTCTTTATAGGGCTGCCAATGGATCGGGTTAGAGCCGAGCTAACCTAGGGCCAACCCATGGCATTAAGTGGGTTTGAGTGAAAGTCTAAATTCTGCAGGCTGGGCTCAGCCCGGGCTGCTAGCCCCGAACAAAATTCCGCATAGCCCTACTCGGCTCTAAAATATATACATATACATTTATAATACCAAAAATGAGCCCAAAACTACTTGATCATGGGTTGAGCCCAAAACTTAACTTGGACCGACCCTAGACCGAGGCTCATGGTCCAGCCAATGTGCCTTAAGTTGTTGCAGTTTTAAAAAAGGAAAAAGTTTGTATAGAGCCAAGGCTCTAAACAATCAAATTAGAGCCTACCTCAAAAATTTCATTAAAAGAGGTTGTTTTGATGCTCAAATATCCTCATGTTGATCTTCTCAACATCAAGATGCATAGATCCGAGAAAAACGGAGTTCAAGTTTTGGAAATAGTGCATCTTGTAATGTATTTTTTGACCGTCAATTTTCAAGATTTTCATATATCTGCTCGATCTACATTATTTTTGAAGCTTTAAATTTTATAATTGAAAATAAAAATATGTTTCAATGCTATTACTAAGATTTTCAGTATAAAAACCACAGTTCTCGATACTATTTGAAGGTACGCTTTATTTTGATTGTTTTTAGCGTCGGCTCTATGCACCTTTTAAAAAATATTGTTCTACATCGCATGATATACATCACGAATGGGTTGGACCGATCTTGTTGCCATCACATATCAAAACTAACCATTTGCCACTTAAATTGTTGCAGTTTTGAAAAATGTCCTTCCAGATTGAAATTGCATGGTATGGATCGGAATTGGTAGGATCGGTCATGTTGCCAAGAACCAACCGTTTTTCCTGGCCAAGTTTTTGACAAAAACGGCCTATTTTGTAAAAGAACAGATCTATTTGGCCTCATATTTTATTTTTTATTATTTTTAATTTAATTTTATTATCTATTATTTTATTTTTATTTGCCAATTCGCTCAATTAAATTGCTGATCCGGATCGCCAATCCGCGGGTCCAACTAGTTTGTTAGTTATGCGATCTGAGCCACCGAGCCATTTTTTTCTTTTCTCTATCACTAGACAAGCACCACTCTCTCTCTCTACAAGCACCATTTTCTCTCTCTCTAACACTGTAACACACAACCTCACGCTAAAGAGAAGGGTGTCAAACGAAGAACTCGTGCGCTCCGTACAAACAGATCACGCCGAGCAACTTGCCGAATCCTCGCAAGTGCCGCTTAATCGCCGTCTCCGTTACGAAACGCTCCTCCAGCTCCATGCAGTCCGTTATGGAAGCCGTTTCGGTCGCCGAGTTTTTGGCCTCGCTCCCGATGTTTTGTACTCATAGAATCTTTGCCCCTACGGAAAACGACAAGGGAGCCCACCTGCCCGTCGAGAGCGTGAGATATGTGAGAGATTGTTTTTCTTGCTTTGAGCCTGCATAAAGTAGTCCCGCGAGAGCAAGCTGTATGTTTACTCCCTGGCTTATCTTTGAAAGAACGTATTTTTTCATCTTAAAGTTCCAAGATCCAATTTACTTAAAATTTTTAATTTTATATTTTCTACGGTTGCTGGTTCTTGAAATATAAGATATTGAAGAAATAAAATTAGAGCTGAGTAGACAAAATGGAGATATGTATCCATAATCTTATATGATTGCCCCATACAAATAAAATTGAAAGTGAAGTTTTGTAAGGTGGTTGTAAGACCTAATATGTTTTATGTAACATAATATTAGGCGGTCAATAAACAACACATTTTATAAAATAAGTGTAGCTAAGATGAAAATGTTGAGATGGATGAGTGACAAGAGAAGAAATAGTAGCCTTTAAAATGAATACATCCGAAGGAACTTAGGAATGACTCTAATAGGAGATAAGATGAAAAAAGTAAACTTAAGTGAACTGATAATGCAAAGGATCATTCTACTACACGGTTAGGAGGGGTAATTTAATTCGAGTGGAAGGTTCTAAAAAACCAAAAAAAATACCCAAAAAGATATGGATAGAAATAGTAAGAAGAAATATAATAACCTATTGACACAATTGAATGGAAAAAATATAATTCATGTAGACAACCCTAAATGATTAGAATAAAGCTCAAATGATGATGATGTTATATTAACGAAGCGTTTAAATGGGTATTTTCACATTGTATATTGATGAGTGAAGAACACAAACAGTTATCATGTAAGGCACACAATGAGCTCATGCAAGCCACCCATGAAACGGTTCAAAACTGCTATCGTTGCTTTTGATTTCTTCCTTGCCGAATGACTCAAGTAGATGCAGGGAACAAGACTTCAAATTTGCAGAGTTATTTATTGGTAAATTATTTTAGAACCAATTTGTTTGTTAGGAGACTTGAGATATTCAGACTAATTATTGCATTATTATTGAATCTTGACAATATAGAGTCTATGTGACAGACAAAATTGCACAAGATGAATAGGTGGTTGTGGTTGTGGATGTGGATGTCATTATCGGTCTTCCACATAGTTATGTAGCTCAATTGAAGCTCCTATTCAGATACTCTGAACCGCCGTTCCTAGAATCGGCCGAGTTCCCCGGCCTTGTGCTAATGTCGAGACTACATTGGCCCGAGTCAATGGTACAACTGAGGTTATGCCATTTGAATGAACATGACTAAGACTAATTTTGTAAGAATCGGCTCATATCAGTAAAACTCGCTCGAGCATGACTTTTTTGAGGATAAACTCATCTCTACTTGATATTTATTTTTCATGATATATATATATATATATATATATATTATCTTAGTGGCTGAGAGGTTCCACACCAATCTAAGGTCTTAAAAACACTGTAACTACGAATTTTATGCCTGAGACAGCACACCCGCGGGAGCATATAATTTGACCTGCTTTTCTAATTTGGCCCTTATTTTATGGGAGAA